ATAGAGGAGGGAAGAAAAGAAGGACTTATTAAATTATTTTATGACAGACAGAAATTGAAATGTTGTTCTAGTCTTTATAATCTTAGCTGCCCATCAATAGCAGGAGCAGCAGCATCGTCATCGCCAAAGCGGGCTATTTATCCAATTGCTCTCTCAGCTGTAACCAAACAAAAAATGTCACCGTTTGATTTTCCTTTCTGCTGTTTTTTTCTTTTTTTTTTTTTTTTCTTTATATATTGGTTGACAATTTTTTAGCCCTTTTATCGAAACAGATCTTTGGTCTTATCGGTAAATCGTAATTGCAAACAAGATGACAAAAGAAAAAAATCATGTAAAGCTTGATTTGAAGGTTGCTGAAGAACACAGTGTTCGGTTTGTGTGTAAATGCGTGTGCTATGCGTGTGATCGTGTCCTACACGGGTTTAAAAACCGTGTGACAAAGTTGCGTGAAGCATAACGATACTTTTGTACCTTGACGTATCTGTGTAACTATTTACTTGTTTCTGTTTTTGTTCTTTGGACAGTCGTTATTACCACTTTTCCATTTTCCAAAAACAGTTTTCTTTCTTCTGTTCTGAAAAGTGCTTTTCTGTTTATCTATTTATTTGATTTGTTTGTTTGTTGATTTATATTTTCTTTTTTTTTATTCTTATCTTATTTTACTAAATTTTATTTTTATTTTTTTTTCTGCTTTTGGACCTGCTTTTTTTGCGTCAATTTTCTTCATCTTTTTAATATTTGATTCAATTAACTTCTTTAGAAATTCACAGTCGTCTCAAGAAGCATTAGCTGATCTGACTTGACTAAAACCGAAAGGATTAAAGACTGCTGCTGCTTTGTCTCTACACTCTTCCTCTCCTTTTCCTCCTCCTCGTCGTTTTTGGGTTTTTTTTTCAAACCGTCCCCTTCTGTCCCCTGTCTGTAATCTTGTATTCTACCTGATTGTTTGCTTCTTCCCATTCAATGGTGATTATCATAGCACCGTAGTCGAGACGTCTTAACCCTCAAATGCTATTGCGTAACCAACGTCTCTGTGATTTCGGCCATCATTCTACTGATTTTCCGTTGATACATTTTTCGTCCCATCGATCACGTGTAGCAGTTAATGAAAAACTGCTATCATCGGTACAGTTTGCTCAGTGTTCAGTGGTTGAGCTAACTGATGCCGACGTCTCAAAAGTTCCAAATGTCTGTAGTTTCACTGCAAAAGGGCAACAGACTGAAAATTCATCGCAATTTTCTGAATGTACAAATAGTAAAAGGAAACCTAATGGAAGTAATAAAAAATTTGGTAATTATCAGATTTTATTCACTTTTTGTTTTATGTTTAATATTGGCATTTTTATCTGTTTTTCATTTTATCTTTTATACTCCAATTCTAATCAGATACTTGGTAAATCCTTCTTTTAATTATAAGTAATTATATTTAATTTATTTTTTAAATTTTTTTATTCTGGGATATAGTTTTTATAAATCATATTTTGAGTATTATACTGCTTTTAGAAAACTTTTCCTAGTTTTATTTTTTTTAAAGTAAAGAAAAAAGTTTTTTTACCAGAATTAATGCATTGTATAAGAATATGATTTCTGTTAGAATTGCTTCGTTGATTCATCTGATTTAAGCATGTGCACGAGGTGAGGACCAAGTGCTGACCTTGGATGGGGCTGCCAGTTGGACGGCAGCAATTCAGAAGGCTTTAATGCCTGTCACACCACAGTCCAGCGCAACATCTGCGAAAGCTCCAGATTCAGTGACTCGAGATGCCACACAAACTGGGCATTTGAGGCCGGGTAAGACAAAAATGATTTGACATCTATTTTATATTTTAATTAACCTTTTTTAACGGTATTTGTTGATGAACTGAGTCAGACTGTTTTCAGGTGAATTTGGGCAACTTGGTACGGAAATAAAGAGCGAGCAGGAATTTTCTTTACTCTATCAACTATTTGCTGATGAAGAATTAGGATCTGGTCAATTCGGAACTGTTTATGGGGGTAAAATAGTGCTGCTTCCTTTGTTGATTTTTTTAAAACGCTTTAATTGGTGGATAGCACAAATCTGTGTTGAATATTACAGTGGCTTTTCTAGCCCATTTTGAACCAAAAAAAAAAAAAAATTGGTTACATTGGTGGTTTTAGAATGGAATTAAAAAAGAAGTTGCTGAATGTTTATGTAAAATAGTTTTTTGAATAGGCGGGTGTAAAACAGTCAGTAAAATTTGAATTTGTAAATTGAAATCGCTTTTTTCGCATCTATTTTTCTCCTTTCAAAATGTTTTATTTTTTGTTTTGTTTGTAAAATTGTTTATCATAATTTGTATTTACTAATCTTCAGTTAAGTTGAAAAAGAACAGTTGCTGAGTTTATTTTGTATTATTAACAAAAATCTTCGTAGGACGATAAGTTACGGCAACTCTTGTTTTCTGTTCAAACGTTGAATTCAACAAATATGAAGTTATCTTATTGTCTTAATTATCCAATTTTTTTTTCTTTTTTTTTATTCTTGCATCTTTTTATAAATTATATACAGTTTTTGATAATTATTTGGTAACAAAATATTTGCTTCTGATTTTTACAGGTGTTCAACGAAAAACTGGTAAAAATGTTGCTGTGAAAGTGATTGATAAGCAGAAATTTCCAAGTAACAAAGAGGCTGCATTAAGAACTGAGGTGGAAATTTTACAGGTGATATATTGTTTTTTTTTTTTTTCTTTATGACATGGCTTAACAAATAAGTGGCATTTATTGCAGAAGGTTAGCCATCCTGGTGTAGTAAGGTTTCAGCAGATGCTTGAGACACCCGACCGTATTTTTGTTGTGATGGAAAAGTTGAAAGGTGATATGCTTGAAATGATTCTTACCAGTGAAAAAGGCCGACTTTCTGAAAGAATTGCAGAATTTTTAATTTTTCAGGTAGGCAATCTTAAACTCAATGTTTACTTTTTCAGTCTATTCATCAGATTTTTTTTGTAAATTTAAGGACTTTAAATGGTTTTTAGTTTAACTAGCTTATTGTTTATTGCTATTATTTTACAACAAGGGAAAGACTAATTGAATCACTTTATGATGTTTGTTTTCGGTCTAAGCATAAAAATATCCTTTAGATGAGGGTTTTTATTGAGGTAATTTAGGTACTTATGGCACTTCGTTATCTTCACAAACAAAATGTCGTTCATTGTGATCTGAAACCCGAAAATATCCTTTTAGCTTCTGATTCAGATTTTCCTCAAGTTAGTCATTGGCATTTAAACGCAATAATCTTTTTACATTTATATGTTTCTGCTTATTTAGACGGTAAGTTTTTTTTGTCAATATTTGTTCTATAAAAAATATTTTAGGTGAAATTATGCGACTTTGGTTTTGCTCGAATAATTGGTGAACGTAGTTTTCGGAGATCTGTAGTCGGTACACCAGCATATTTGGGTTGGTTTCCCCCTGCTGTATTTTGATCTTTTTTTTTAGCTGTTCAATAATTATTGACCTTACAATTACCAATAATCACTGAAATTTGTGAAAAGTTCTTAATTTCATTGATTTTAAACTTTGCACTTTTTATCAGTAATGACTTATAAGTTTATAGTATTTGATTATGTTTATTATAGCACCTGAAGTATTACGCAACAAAGGCTTTAACCGTTCATTAGATATGTGGTCTGTTGGAGTGATCGTTTACGTCAGGTTTGATTCCACATCAATTTTTTAAGCATTGATTAGTGCACAAATGCAGCTTACTGGATTCTGTAAGCTCTAAAATGACTAGGAATTGACCAAAAATTGAAGCCACATTTTTCCTGCAATATTAAATTATGTTTCGCAAAAATTTTTAATGACTATCTTGTTATTTTTTCCCCTTTTATGATTTTTCTTCCAGAACATTCCGTTTAAGGCATGCTTTTTTTGCACTGCTAGTTATTTTATTAAATTGAAAGAATTTGGTGAGGTTGTTGTTAAAGGTAACGTATATCATTTTTTTTAGTCTCTCGGGGACATTTCCTTTCAATGAAGACGAAGATATAAACGATCAAATTCAGAATGCTGAATTTATGTATCCACCAAATCCGTGGCGTGAAATCAGTTCAACAGCTATTGATTTTATCAATGGTTTGCTACAGGTCAAAATGAATAAACGATTAAGTGTGATGAAGGCGTTAAGCCATGAATGGTTACAGGTTTGTTTCTTGCTTCTTCGTTTTCTTTATGCCATTTTGCACGGTTGCAGATCTTTTGGGACATATGATGGATTATTTGCCATCAGTCGGTCAATTTTTGCAACTGATCATCGCTTTTCTATTTTTTTCTTTTTTATCATCTGCTGCTGTCTCTAGAATTATCAGTTGTGGTCCGATTTACGGTGTTTGGAACGTGATGTTGGTGAACGCTATCTGACGCATTGTTCAGATGATGCACGTTGGGCGGAATATGAGAAGACACATTCCATAACACCGATTTATAACTGATTTATCTGACCGAGTACTATCGAGTAGTCTGTATCTGTGATGAAAAGTTGCTTAAGAGTTTAGACTATTTTTTTTGCACTTTTTTGCATATGTTAATTTTTGCTTTTTTTCTGTCAATTTTTTACTGATACAATCTGATCATGCAGAAAAAAATATGCATTTTTTTCTTTCTTTTTCTTCCTTTTTTTCTTCGCTTAGAAATCACGTCTAGCGGAAGTAGTGAGTAATTATTTTTTACTCTATTCTCATGCTGTCTTTTTCTTTCGATTTAGTTGTTGATTCGTTCAAATATAGTGACAATCTGAATTTGAGCAGCGCTATAAAAATTTAAAACAAGAAAGGGAAATTATTCAATTACTTTAGTCAGTATCAGTTTTGCTTAAAGCAAATGATGTTCCAGTTTTCAAATAGCATAGTGCAAATTTTTTCCTTCATTTTTTGAATCATTTTTTCCTTAGTTAAAAATCTGTCACTGAATTTAGTGAAGCAATAGTTAAAAGGTATAAATTAACATTTACTGACTGTATTCGGTATTTGATATACTAAAAGTGACTGTTTTAATAGTTAAGTGGGTACAAATTCGTAAAAATATTTGAACAATGAACCTCAGGACTTCTTCTTTCCAGTAGTTTTAGGCTAATCTATACGCTGTTCTTTCTCGGTTGTCTACTGTAACTTTTCTCTGCTTAATATTGTAAATTGTGCTCTAAGCTGATCTCAAAATGATTCTTCGCTATTTGCTGTTAAAAGCAGTTTTTTTGTTTAAATTACTCTTAATTTTTCACCTGATTTAGTCAGTTTCTTTTCAGTTGCCTATCATCTTTTGTTGCTTGTCCCTTCTTTTTCTCTGCTTGTCTTGTAGGCTGATACAATCGGTGTACCAGGAAATCCCAATTTTCGTACCATTGGTACAGTTTAGTTCGATCTTTCTTCCCAGTGTTCTATTTGGCTCCCCTTGGCTTCACATTTTATCAAGAAGTATCAATATAATCATCGTCATCATCGGTTTGATACGGATCTTCCTGG